GCGGAGTCAAGATACGACGTCTTCTTCTCTCCTTCGTGCTCGTGTCTTGCCATTAAGAGAGTGAGTTGAACTTCATCTTTAACCTCCATAAGATTGGCTTTCTCTTTTACTTGACTAGAATTCCTACACTCACTTGCATAGTGACCATATTCTTGGCAATTAAAGCATTGGATTCGAGATTTACCTCGTTTCTGAAACTTCATACCTCTTCTACGACCTCTTGTAGATTGAGAGCCTTGGTTGTTGTCCTCTTTGGTGGATTAAACATAGCCTCCTCGAGCACTTCCTCGTCCACGTCCTTGAAATCCACCATTGCCTCGTCCAAGGCTTCTGCCACGTCCAAAGCCTCCATCTCTTTCTTTGAAAGAGAGTTTTGTGTAGAGGGCTTGCTCCAAAGATTCTTTGGGCCTCCTTTTCTTTAGTTTCTCTTCATGGGCTACTAAAGTACCCATGAGTTGATCAATGGTCATAGAGTCAAGATATTTTGACTCCTCTATCGCTACCACAATATAATCAAAGCTTGGTGTCAAAGAGCGAAGAATTTTTTCTATCACTCTTGTGTCACTCAAGCTTTCTCCATTCCTCTTCATCTCATTTGACACTTTCAAGACACGAGAACAATAATCCGAAATAGATTCGGACTCCTCCATTTGTAAAGCTTCAAATTCTCCTCTAAGAGTTTGAAGACGTACCTTTCTCACTTTCTCAATACCTCTATTAGCATTCTCTAGAATATCCCAAGCCTCTTTTGATGTAGAAGCGTTTGCCACCTTCTCGAACATGGAATCATCTAGACATTGATGGATAAGTGAAAGAGTTTGTTGATCCTTTCTCCTTGCTTTGTTGAGTTCCCCCTTTTGGGCAGGAGTCAAAGAAGCCTCATCTAGAGGTTTCTCATAACCTTTCTCAACAATCTCCCAAACCTCATGAGAGCCTAAGATCGCCTTCATTCGAATGCACCACTTACCATAGTTTTTTTTGGTAAGTTGAGGAAATTGGAAAGAGATCATTCCACTTGCCATCTTATTACTTCAAAGCTGGATCAACACCAGCTCTGATATCAGTTTGTTAGCAAAAGAACCCTTTGGTTATAAGAAAGAGATCTTTTAGGTGATGGGTGAATGAAGTGGAAATGGAAGAGAAGGAAATTTTGGGAGAAAGGGAACTTTACTACTTTGTAGTAGAAGGAAACAAAGTGGAATGTGTTAAGCTTTTAGCTTAATGTTTCTTACAACTTCTCTACACACACTTGCATTAGGGGGTTAACTCCTATTTATCGGAGTGCATGGAAGGTTCTACACTCTTTCAAGATTTTTCTACTCCTTTTAAATATCTACATATTTTATTTTAATATCTAGACTTTTCCTTACTAATATCTAGATATTTCTTCTAGATATTTTCCATGAATTATTCTACATACTCTTGATATTTATGTAGAACATTTCTAGAATTTTCTACTTCTAGATATCTTCTTATCTAGACAATTCTTCATTGGACTTGGGCTTAGGATTAAACATAAAGATTCATGGTCCAAGTTAATAATTTGGATAACCCAATATTAATTGGACCAAATTAAGTTTACTTACTAACAGTTTTACCAAAGTAGATAAATTTCAAAGTAAGTGTCGTTCTCACATTTCAATGTACTTTTTGTCCAAATCTTCCAAAATTACCCTCAAAAGAATTAGTACTATTGATGGATATTTTTTTAATGAGGTTAGTTGAGGATATTCAAGTAATTTTATTACTCTATTTAAGAGTTTCTTAAACTATGTGCAAAGTGTAAGATGACACTTATTTTGGAATGGAGAAAGTATTACTTTTGATGATTTTTACCGCTGAATCCATTTTTTTTTCCAGGCCATTGGCGACATATCTCCCCCGATGAAGAAACTGTCTTAGAGAAACTGAGAGATTGAGTTTTCTTAATTCAAATTCTTAAATCTACATCCTTCAATCAGGTACTGCCAATGGATTTCGTGCCACGCCTTCATTTAATCAAGCTAGTAAGTAGTTGAAGTGGTCTCATTGAATTTGTTCTTTTGAGGTTTATGTGGTACTACATGATTCTATTTGAGAAATAACGGATTTTCATTTCTATTGCTGAACTTAGTGTTGTATTTCTCAGATGAAATAGTGATGATATTGTTAAATAGAAAGCATGAATGAATGCTATAATACCACATCCCCGTCATGCTGAAAGTTGTGCTTCCCAATTTGTGAGACATTGAACATGATATTTTTTCAAATATTCTGCAAATTGGGTGGAAGAATACCTAGTTGAAATCCTCTAAAGAACATATCATGCCTTCAGGACAAAGCCAAAAAAAAAAAAAAAACAAGTTTTTTTTATAGAAACACAACTGGCCCAAGGAAGCTTAGCTAGTTTCATACAGGCTAGGATAACAAACTTCATTTTCAATATTTCATATTATGAAGCTCAAGGCCACATAAAAAAGTATAAACGGCCCCAATAGCAATCATGGCTTCCTTAACCAATATTGCCGTTCTAAAGGTATGCACTAACTTCACAAACTGAGTTTGCGATCGTGAAGTCCGTAATTGTTTTAGAAAGGATGATTATACATTTTATATAAGAAAGTTCATTAAGGATTGGCCTGAATCAATAATGAGAGGGTTATAGATGTTTGAATGGCGCTCACCAAAATGTCAGATTGAGTTTACTTGGAAACTTTCTCCTTTATCTTTTTCAATGGCGATACCTAGAATTGCACTTCCGGTTTAGCGGTGGAACTCTGGTTAGAGTTTCCTGCAAAACAGAGCCTCGAGGCCTCCCGATGGTAGACATTCCGAAGCTTAAGTCAGAAAATGGGGTTGTCAAATAGTCTGTGTTTGTGAATTGGTGTCAAAAATAGCGTACCTCAATTATGGTGAGACCAATCCTACTTATAGGTATGGAATTATCTCCAGTAAAGCCGAATCCCATTAGGATGAATATTCCTGAGCTGTCTTTACAAGGCCGGTTAAGCCCTAATTGGTGGATAGGCCTGTCTAATAATCCTTGGTGAATACGGACTCGTCATTCAATCCGACCACCTGCCAACAGGTGCATGTGGTAGATCAAATTGACCGATACTCAAAGTTGTTTTTCACCATCATGTTACGTAGTCGTTTTATGACTCATTGGTACTCTATGGGAAAGAATTCCCCGAAGCCGGATTTTATTTGGATGAAATCTCGTTGATGGAATCTATACTGTAATCCTAAATTCAAATTGATCGACGAGGAGGGGATCATTGAGGTTAGCTCCCTTTGTTTGAGCAAATATTTGGATTATAAATCGGCAATGATCCTGTTTTCCGCTCCATGTTCCGAAATGATTATCCAATTTAGATTTCTATTTTTAATACAAATAGAACTGAAAGTAAAAAATTTAAATTAGACAATAATTCAGAAGGAATACTTTTTTTGTCGGGTACGCTTTGCATATATACGACTTGATGAATGAATATGTAGCTACAGGTCCAGCATTTTCGATTCAAAGATACGAAGCGTACGTGTGTTATGTGAATAAATTGTCCTACAGTTTGGGTAGAAGAAGTGAATACATCGAGGGGAAGAAAACAAAAACACTTAACTGTGGGTTTTGTACGCATTCCAGCATTCCAATTAGAAAGAATAAATCAATTGATTGTACAGAATGATTTACCCATAACTATTACAATGACAATTCTTCTTGCAATTACTAAGGCTTCCAAATGGATATACTCCCTTTGTCCTAAAATCATTGTCTAGTTTAAATGTTCATTTTTAGTTCAATTTATACTACAAGTGAAAAATAATTTTATTGTAATTGACCTTTATCTTGTCCTATGACATGCTGGCTATTTAAACATAAATTAATATCATCTTCGCCTCTCATCCAAAATGACTAATTAAGGACAACAAACAAAGATACCGTCATCTGGATTTCTTCTATATATTATCTAATTATGAATTTCAAAAAGGCCAGCGATATTGCCAGAGCAATTTTTAGTTGCCAGAGGTAAAAAATATCGTTTTGACAAAAAAATCCTTAGTCAAAGGTAATTTTTTTCCTCTCACCAAATAAAATTCTGTGGTCTTTCTGGCCATCCAATTTTCTTAATTTTTTGGGGAGCTTTTTTATCTCTCTGACTCTGCAACCAGTTGATGAGACGATTCTTTTCTTAGTGAAGAACAGCCGGTGACGACCAATGATGGCAGTGCCGGCCGGAGTTCAGAGAGTCCGATATAGATGCTCTCGTCTGTTTGATATTTCAAAAGGATTTAATCGGTTTGATGAGTGGGTTAATCTATTTTAGAAGTATCTAGCCTTCCTATTGATACGTTGGAGTATTAATCTGGTTAATTAGGTCAACGTAGTTCTGGAAAATTGAATAAGGATTCCCATTTCAAAGTCGTTTTTCCTTTTCATGAAGTGAGTTTGGTTTCATGAATTTGATTTTGGTTATGGCCACAATTCAATCACAAAAACTTAGCAATGATGGCCGTTGATGTTCTCCAATTATACAAGTGTTATCCAGTTACTAATCTCCAAGGAACAGAGAAACATATAACTTAACACAAACAATTTTCTTGGACTTTGGTTTTTGCTCCGTTCAACTCTGGTTCCAATATAGGGGGAAAATTTTGGAAGGCCGTAGAGATTGCTAGATTAGGAGTGGGAGAACGGTGAAGTTAGAGAAGAAAATGAAAGTCTGTACGCATGTATAACAAACGGTGAATCAAGAGAAGAAAATAAAAGTCTGTATGATGAATCAGTGACCCAAATGGTGAAATTAGTTGGAAATAATTCAATACTCCCTCAATAGCTTGCACTTCTTTACGGGAGAAACGGATTTGAGCAAGTTAAAATCACTTTGACTGTCTAGGGGGTAATTTTGGTAAAACAATAATTTTTTGCTCTGTTAGCTAAAAATTGTTCTGACAATATAGCTGGAGTTTCAAAAAAAAACTGGTGCTTAACAGAAACTTTAGTGAGATTATATATTATCAAGACACCCTCCATAAGATAAACGGTCAAAAACGGGAGATCAGTTTTGGGCCTACAGTGAAGCCCAAATATATTCCATAATACTTAATCCAACCTCCGTTCCGGTTCCTCTAATAATGGTAGTATATATATATTTGGGATGATGTGTTGCAGCTGCTCACTCTGATTCTCGCGGAAGAAACCACGAAAAGGTAAAAATTTGTTGTCGGTTTTAAATTCCTTTTGGTCACTCCTTAAGCTGTTCTGTTCGGTAGTTGAAATCCCATATTGTATTCATGGATGAGGTCCTTGAGGAGCTAGAATGCACGCGATCTTTACCGGAATTAGGGTTGAGGAATTTAGGTCGATATATTGATTTTTTTGGGGTAATTTTTCTGACGTATTTCGGTTTATTTTTACTCAATTTTAAGGCGAAGACGATGATCGGATCCCGCGGAACTGCTCAATTCATCGGTGGCTCTTCCAACATTCGAGATTCCAAATTTATCAACCCTGCTGATGACCACCTTCATGATGATGATGTTAGTTTTTCTTCTTTGTCTGTCTTTCTCCTTATTTTCCTTTTTTTCTTTTTCCCTTTCTACGTTTGGCTGATTTTTCCTCCCTTACTGTGGTATTTCTAGTTGGTTGATGCTTATTATAAGGCAGGAAGGGAGACCACTGCATCCGGGCTAACTTTTCAACCATCGGTGAAGGCGGTAAATTTTCTGGTCACTTTAAATTATCTCTGAGTTGGGACTTGTTTTACTGTTTGCTTTCCTGGTTGAGTTCTAGATATGTATTCTCAGCTCAGGAGCTACTTAATGCATGCGAGTATCAGGGGGCTTCTTTTTTCTCTAATCTTGTTCATTTTACTGAATATTGAAGGTCAAATATCCCTTGGATATTAGTGTAACAACCGTATCTCAAGCACCTGATCCACTACCACCCAACGTGCCGCTTTTCCAGGTTATCTGCTTTGACGATGATGACCTCTACGACATTGGTAGTTTTGTTGTTTTTATTTATTATTTAACAACTTGTCTTTGGTTTTTTGTGTTTTCTTTTGGTGGTGGTGGTGTCTTCAGCTTTATGATCGATACCCTAAGATAGAAAATGGAACTACATCGTTGGCTTTTGTTATCAAAGATGGGATCATTATAGCTGTTGACCACGGACCTAGCACCGGTAGCAGGCCAGGTGAGCTGTTTTACATGAGATTATTTTCGTCTGTGTTTATGATGTAATAGTATAAATGAAGTTACTAACTCTCTGCCTATAAAATTTGGAATCAGAGTCATTACCTGAGAATGTCATTGAGCTTGATCCTCGCACGCTTTGTACTATTTCTGGAGACATTGCAGGCTGCAAATCTTTATCCAGTGATCTTCTGAAGGAGGTACTGATTGTCACGTCCTTATCTAGTATATACAATTGTATATATCATGTAAATGATCTTTCCTTAAATGGTTTAGCTGCAATCTAAGAACCAGTGGATTGTAGTTCTTAATTGAGGAAAACATGCAAATATAAAGATGGAATGGCTCCGATGGAATGGCTCCAAAATTGTTTGGTTTCTTATGGTTGTAACTGGAGGATTGATCACTTTCATTTTATGTTCTAGTGCTGCGGACTTGCAAAGAACAAAAGATTCGGTTCTAGAATTATATCACAATTCATAGCTGAGAATCTGTTTTCTCGCGTTGAGGGGGCCTTGTCTGGAATGATTATTGCAGGGTTTGATGAAATGGTATTGTTCCTCTTCTTTCTCTGCAAGGAATGTGTATATGTTGCTGGGATTTTTTTGGTTCAGCCCTTTGATATTTAACGGGCTTTTGTTTTGTGTAGGGTGCTCTTTTGTATTGTGTGGATGGTTTGGGTTACCTGCGACAAGGACGCAAATTTACTACTGGATCTGGATCAGGATTTACACTGGGTGCTCTTTACGCTAGGTATGCCTGATTTTCCTTGTTTTCTTTTAGTATGCGAGGTGATTGCCCTATAGTTATGTCGCACTTGGTCAATCGATTTCCTTTTGCTTTTATAGGTATAGTTACCGTTTGTCCTCTGAAGAAGCTGCCGAGGCTGCCAAAGATGTGCTATGCCTTGCTGCATTTAGAGCTAGGGAGAGTCATGGTTTCGTCAGTGGTATGTTCTGCTGTTCCCGTTTATATTTTTCATGTTAGTTTGTGCCTTAAAATGGGTAGGCTGTTTATTTCATTATTATTATTACAACGGTGTTTATCCTGACTGTGAGTACATATCTTTTCAAAAGTTTTCCATGTAGGACCTAATGGATGGAAGAAGCTCATTTACGAAGATATTGGGAAAGTCATGGAAAAACAGCAGTCTCTCTGGAAAAAACGAGCAGCTGAGCATGAAAACAAAGAGCTGATGCAAAAGCCTTACGAAATCAGCAGTCCTGGAGAATACAAGCAGCAAATAGCTTTTCCTAACTCTGGTGCAATTGTGGTTTAATCTAAAAAATTGGGTGCAGTTGTGTTTTAATCTATAAGATGTTCGGTGTAACTAGTAAACTTAATATAAGATATTGTTGTAGACGTCAATCTAGACAGAGACTTTGTATTGTGTCTAATCTATGCTTGTGTGTGAGTTGTGACTCTCCTTGAGATGATATTTAAGTATGCAGACACTTCCCTTTTTGGCTGCAGTCTGCAGATGTGTTATGTATATCGTACGTGAGCTTTGATAACTGATCAGCCGAAGCGATCTCTCTTTGGCCCTTCCGTTGTCTTCTTTGTAGGAGCAAGTTTTGTTACTTGCTAGCCTACGGAGAAAACAATTCCCTTTTCTTTTGATTATCCAAGGTCATGGGTGTTCAAATCTTCCATTTGCATAATTGTAAATTGATGGACTTCAGTTTTATCTTATTGACAGCCTCCACGTATGAAGGAGTTAAAGGTCCTGACGATCTCCGGCCCTGTATGCAATGCATGTAAACTTAGGTAGTTGGCTTTGTCATTCTCTCGCTTGAAGAGGATGTAGAACTTTGAAAAATCCTATCAAAGGCGTGAAACTGATCTAAAAATCTTAATATATTTGAAACCTTTTCTTTTAATCATCATTGTCATTATCATGATTCATCATCCTCTGCGTTCGTGTGTTTGCTTGAACTTCTGGGGTACCTGTGACCCACCCACCCGCCGACCCCCTATTGCTCATAGGGTTCCAAGCAGATATGTCTGCGTAGTTCCGTAGTTCGCACTGGAACTCAATAGAAAGTTCAAGAATTGCTGGAATTCCAAAAATGTACACACTAAGGGTATGCCAAATCAATACATCATCTATTGCAATAATAAAATAGGATAATTCAAGTTTATATTCGTCTCTACATATCTCACTCGAGCTTAGCATCCCAGACTCGAACGCACGTGGACATAATTATTTTGGAAAATAAAGGATGAGTATGATGCATAATTAGCTCAAAGTTAAATTGACGAGTTTGAAAATATTGATGTACAACTACACTATATAAATATTTGTCAAAAAATAATTTAGTGTATTATAGACTTCCTTTTGAATGGAACAGTATTGTAAAGATCAGTTGATAGATGATGCTCAAGTGGTAAAAATATTACTGACAAGTACTTAGTTTAAGTGATAAAAATATTATGTTAGTTTAATTTTGTTTCAAGATCAAATTTGTACAAGTACATGTAGTAGTGATCAAAATACTTGTTGAGAATTGAGAGAGTTTTATTTCCCGAAAAGGACCTACTCGACTCAAATTCAGATTAGTTGGAACAATAAAGTGTAGTCTAACCAAATAAATATTTCTTCGCAATTTGCATTAGGAATGTCAGATCTTTTCTTCTCTTTGTGCAAATAATCTCAAATAGTTTTTTCTTTTTCCTTTTTTTTTTGGATAATTTTGATTAGAGACATAAGAAAGATCAGATTTATTATGAAGAGCATATGTTCTATTTATTCATTAACGTGAATCATTAATTACTTTTAATGGTGCTTAGGTTCTTAAAAGACTATCACACCCTTACTTTCTAATACAAATCTATTTCTCCTCCCCAGCCTTCGCCAATTAATTTTTTCCCAGATTAATTTGTTGTATGATCTCAAAAAATGAAGATTCAAATATGCTTCTAATTGTAGTGCTTTTTTTGTCATCGAATATTTCAAACTCCCTCCATGCCAAGAGATACATGGAGTTTATGCAACTTGATTTTATATTTTTTTGGATATTTACACGGAACCATTTGTTCTAGAAAATCTTCTTTAAAAAAGCTTAGAAATGATGACGAAGTGTTATGATTTTGGGTTGTTTGATATCCAAGGTTGAGAGATAAGTTGATTTGTTAGAGATTGAATAGTTTTTTTCCATCTCATACAAAGAAAAATGGTCACCTAAATTATTCTAAATAATCCGGTGAGCTTGTGGTTGATTTTTTAGTTTTAATCATGGAAAAAAAAAAAAGAGAGTGAGAGAGACGACCAAATAAAGAATCTTCTTAACAAAATTAGGGTTGATGATAGGATATAAATCAAGACTGAAAAGATTAATGTTTTTTTTTTCCTTCAACAACTAGACAAGAAAAGAGACTGAAAAGTTTAATGTTTTTTTCCCCTTCAACGACTAGACGAGATTTCCCCTTCAACGACTAGACGAGAAAAGAGACTTGTGGGCAACTGCAAGATTTGGAGTGCGGGGTGGAAAGATTTGTGGATAAGGAATTCGATTTGGGTTCGAAAATTATTTAGTAAGAAAAATGGAAATGAGAAGGATAAAATGGAAAGTACTTGGAATGATACAAACCCCAAACTCAAAATACGCATCACTGATGTTCACAAAACTATATAACCTTCACTAATGGTGTCCAATTGATGATTGCATCCAACCGTTTCGCACATTACAAGACTTCCATTTCGCACATTTATGACTTGCAATGAAACAAAAGCACGCAAATACAGTAGAGGGTGGCTCCTCTCCATATAGGCCATATATGCCATATCACTGGTTTACTTAAGCCCTCCCAACCTAGATCAGCTTTTTGGCCATAGCACAGTCACCATCCAAAATGCAGAAGAATGACATAAAACAGCCTTCAATGGAGAAGGAACCAGGTTGGTGGGCTTTGTAGAGAAATTTGCCTTGCCTTAACGAAAAAAACCAGAAGGATAATAATCTAGCATTTACAAAACATGATTTTGATATACCAACTTCTTCCCGAAGAGTTGATACTTTTCTTATTAAAAAAAAAAAGCAGAAGGATACAAGCCGTTATCCAGCAAGGATTAGGATTTTTTTTACTTATATGGGTAAAAAAAAAACCCTATTTCTGGACACAAAAGGCCACATGAAGTCTGTTGTGGTCGTAGATACCCTTTCCGCAAAACAGGTATGTGATTTTCACACAAAACCGCGTCAAGAAATACAGAAATACAAAATAACCGCATCAATACATTGCGGTAGTAAATATATCTGCATACTGCATACAAAGAATGCGGTTTTGTTAAACCGCAAACCGCCGACGCAGTTTTCTTTGAAACATTAATTAAAATAATATAATTTATTACGTTTTGACTCCACTAAATCTGAATTAATAAATAAACCACATACGAGGTAAGCAGAAATACATAACCGCAATAGTCTGTTGCGGTTTTCGGCATTACCGCAATTTTGTAATGCAGATTTACATATTTGATGTTACAAAATTTTCAACGTGGATTTATTAAATTTGTGAAAAAATAATAAATAATAAAATATTATTAATTATTTTGTGAGCGAAAATATTTTACTACTATGTATTATAATATGTTATGCGCATTTTAGTGTATAAATTGATTATTGCAATTATAAATGTTAAAAAAATTGATATAAAAAATTAAGAATTAAATTTAAAGGATAATAAATATTTAAAACCTTAAAATGTTGAGGATACATGAAAAAAAAAAGAGAGTAACCAAAAAATGACGCACTAAATATATTAATTTCAAGAAAAAATAATTGATCTAAACCCATAAATAAGGAAAAATAAGTAAGTTTTCTTAAAATTATGATAATTTATTATTTGTTGACATTAAGTTTGATAAAAGGTAAAATAAGTTTTAGAAATTATGCGAATGTTTATATAGTTTTCCGATTATAATTGTTGATAATACTTGAGATAGTAAATTAGATTGATGCCAAACTAGGAAATGTTGTGTTTGATAAATTATTGTTCCACAATATAACCAAAGTACTCAAGCCAAAATATCAAATTAGTGCAAGACATAACAAAACACCAAATACTACAAGTCATAACACTACATAAACGCTACTTGCGCTTCTTGCCCTTGACCATTTGACCATCAGGGTTACCTTCACCGAGTCCGCAACTAGTAAGCTTTGCAGGCACCTTTATATTTCTCGGTTCCTTAGCCAAAGCCAGTGGTGTAAAAGGTAAATTATGACGCGGTCTTTTCTTCTTGCATACTTGTTGACCCGCAAGCTCTGAACCCTGTATAAGAACCTCTATTAATTAATTCTATATAAATTAACAACCTCTATGAATAAAATTAAAAAAAAAAACTAGTTGATAAAATAATAAAATATTAATTTATCTGTATTGTTGATTTATCGAATGAATAAAATGTAACTGAGCTCCAGCCTGAGCTCCATCCTGATACTGCTGAGTCTGATCTCTAGCTTGGTCCTCAAAACAACGCTACCCTGCAGCAATATCAAACCCAGAACCCAAAAACAGGTGGCTCTGGAATTGAAACGCCTCCTGAGAAAGTTGATCCTGGTATGACATACCAAAAGTAAGAAATTGATCACCAAAATCCAGTTGAGTCTGGTGTTGTGGCGACAAAGCAGGATGGTATGGCGTCTGATTTTCCTCAAAAATAGGACGATACGGACTCTGATGGGGCTGTGATAATGACCCGGCCTGCTGCTGGGGCTGTGATGATGACCCACCCTGATCCTGAGTGTACCTAAGTCTGGGCTACCTTCCACCTCTCCGAACTTCCTCCCTAGGAGGCGCAAGCTAACGAACCACAGGTGGCTGATATATTCCTGAGTCAGATCTGCATTGACAAAAATCTAACTCTCACTTTTGCTCGGGAGTACCCAACACTGGGTCCTCTGCAATGACAAGGCTCGATTAGCAGTTTTTCCGATCTGGTTAAATGTTATATAAGCAGAAGACTTAGGGTCGGTGCAATCACCCATGCCAAGGAGACTCATCCTCTTAATATCGGCGGCTAAATTGGCCTGCACATTTATATCAAAATATAAAATCATAACTATAAAAAAAATAGTTATAAAAAAAAGTAAGAGGAAACAAAGGCTCCGTTTGATAATCACTAAAGTCTGAATCTTAACACTTAACACTTAACACTGAAGTCTGAAGTCTGAAGACTGAATTTACATTGTTTGATAAAAATGTCTGAATATGATGTCTGAAGACTGAAGTCTGAAGTATGAAGACTGAATCTGAATACTCATGTCTGAAAGTTATTTAAAATCTTAATATCATTAAAATTGAATTAGAAACAAAATTCTTTTAAATAGAAAAATAACTAAGATTTTGTTCTAAATAATAAAATAATAATTCTAAAATAAGTTTTTGGTATATATAATAAAAGTAAATGTTACACTTGGTAAATAATCAATATATAATTAAATTTAGATTATTACATATATGTGTATACCTTGTTATTTAGCAAATTTTATGTATTAAAATTAGTTTAATTTGAGTTTGAAAGTTTGAGATCTTTTATGCTCATAATATAAATTTAACTTTAAGCACTCTTAATTATATTATCTTAAGAAAATAAAAATTTTAAAACAATGTAAAAATAAGAGACAAAATAAAGACGAGAACAAAAAAGGAAAAAAAGAAAAAAGGAAAAAAAAAAGAGTCATCACGGAAATTAAGTGATAAGTGATAAGTGGTAGATCTATCACTTATTTTCTGGTTCACAATTGAACTGGCCATTCAGACGCACTTAATTAATTCAGACAGTAAAATTTTAGTTATCAAACGTACTTAATTTATAAGTACTTAATTAGTTCAGAACTTAATTTTTTAAGAATTTTTTGTAGCAATTATCAAACACACTTAATTTCATTAAGTACTTAAATAAATTAAATCATTATATTTAGTGATTATCAAACAGAGCCAAAGTAAGAACACTCACCATAACGTGATACGCCTCTGCCGCTCCCTGGAAACCCTCTTTATGCCTCTTTCTAGGGCCCATAACAAATGTTACAGTCTTGAGCTGGTACCATGGAAAGTACTCGTCATCTGTCGCGGGGAAGCCAATGCAATCATCAGAACTCCCAACAATGTGACAAGCTCTATCTTTCCAAACCTGGACATAGTCCTTATGAAAAATCTTTCCAATCCCTTGTCTTGCCATACCGCCCTATCTTGTGCAGATTCAGTAAGGGTTGTTTTGCCATAAGCAAATTACCATTGGGTATGCCCTGTTTGAATCAAAATTGCCTTATAACCTGACCAGGAATGTGTGCCTCAACAACACTAAAAAAGATCAGATAGGTCTCCGATCTCCAGATGTGATGGCCGGCAAGGCAAGATGGGTGAATACTATCGAAAATAGTGGGCGAATACGGCAAGCACACGAACTGAAATATGAAAAATGTATTGTTACAAAAAATGAATTAACAGAAACATGTTCAGATTTCAAAACACTCTTTTATATCAAAAATAATAATAATAATAACAAGGAACGTTTATATGGTACGAATGTATACCTCCGACACCTGAAGAACAGCAAACTGATACCTATAGGCAAGCAGATTATTCCCCGTGATATTCTTGACAACTTTAGGACATCTCCACCTGCATTGTTAATATGGCATCAAATTAGCCAATATACACAGTATATAATACAAATCCAATTCATTAAAATGATACTTATTTTCTAGAAAGGGGACATTCCCCAAGATCTTGTGGCTCTAGACATCATAATTTTGGCTGGATATTCTTAATCCTCTCCCAAGCCCAAAGCTGTCCAAATAAAAATATTATATCCTAATATTAAGTTGTTTAAAAAAATCATATAGAATCACGAGATATTGTGTAGTATATATACCTGTACGAGTAGCAAACATCCGTATATGGATTTCCCCTTCCCCATTGAAGCTTTGCACAACTCTATACAAGTTGCCTAGCACGGCGCTCCCCCAACTTAGTTGTGTACAACTCTCAACGTCTACTAATGGGCCTACCAAAAGAAATGGGATATTGTCCCTATTTGAGTCAGGGAACAGTAAACCTCCTAACGTACATGCCACTAGACAACGGGTCCGTTGTAGGTGTTCCTCCATTGATGCCATCGGAGATATGGCATTATTCAAGTGAGCGTACAAATTAATGAGATAGAGTTTTCTGTCTGCCACATGGGCCTCACCGGGGCAAAATCCGAATAACCACAGCAAATATGGACCCCATAACTTATTCTCAGGCTCGACCTCAGGTCCAGTAACCGGTCCCTATCCACCTTAAGGTCCAGTAACAGACTATTTGGGTTAAAATTAAAATAGAAAAAATTATTATTAAGGCTGTAAACGAAATGTTTTCATTACCATGTGGTCCAAATAAGAAAAGAAGTGAAAGGGTGTCACTTTATAAATATTAGGGTTTTTGTTTTGTAATTTAATGGGGGTCATTTCAGAATCTAGTCATTTTAATGTATCAAAACTTAAAAATTCAAAGAAAAACCGCATATCTTCCGTGCGGGTTTGACTGATTCAAACGTCGCCACCAGATTGAGCCACGTGACTCAATCTAAACCGAAACCACATTCACGCTATGCGGTTTTGACCAAGTATGCTATTAGCCTCACTTTTCCTTCCTTTTTCCTTTTTTTGCTCTACTTTTAAAACAAATAACACCCAATGATCAAATTATTACACAAGCACCAACAAATATGCAACAACATTATACAAACAAGAGAAGGTTCATACCTTTTTAAATAACACAAACTACAACAAATGTTCAACAACTACATAATTACTTGGTTTTTTATGTACCATCATTAGGCACACCCTTTATTCCAAATGGATCATAGTTATGATCAAGAGGAGTCATGTCCCAAGGTGGATGAGAATTGGGGCATTTGTCAACCTTATGACCTTGTTGACATCGGCTACAAGTTGGTTCTTGGCGACTCCCACGATTTGAATAATCTTGGACACCCTTCATTCTATTCACCCGCTTCCTACCCTTCCCAGAATGATGAACTAATCTTGTGTCATCTGGTATGAGCTTCCATGGTATAACTGGGCCACGTCCATGAACCAGGGAAAAGTCTCCAGAGAATTGGGCGATCCAACCTTCACTCGTGTGACAGGGATCTACTAAGGGAATGGGATCACGACCCAATGTGATAGCAACAGCAATAGCATGAGAGCATGGAAATCTATATGTCTGCCACTTCAAACATGTGCATATACCTGCACCAAACTAAACTTCATGGGTCTTGTGTCCCTTCCATGGCCTATTGTCGTGCGGTCCTGTAACAACTTCGTACAGCTGCCTCTATTTACTAAAAATGGTAAATTTGTGACGCATACCATGTAACCTCCATTTGTTATACTTAGCCATGTAGTGTGGGGTGAGGACAGTCTGACATTTCTCAATTTTTTCATAATTGTCATTAAACAGCTTAACTGTCTTCAACAAGAAGGATTTAATCAGAGCTATGATTGGTAAGAGGCGTGCACCTTTCAAGGCATTGTTGTAACTCTCTGTGGTATTGGTGGTCATTACACCCCAACGATTGTCACCATCTCCAAGTAGGGTCCACTTATTCGCTCCGATGCTATCAAGCCACTCTGCAGCTACTGGGTTTTTACTGGCCAGCTTTCCCACGCCTTTACGCACTTTGTCGTGTTCAGTGTGTGGCCAACTCTCTGACAAAGGGGTCTCAACTTCTGCCCAGGAAATTTCCTCGCAATGTTAGCCTTGATGTGTTCTAAGCAGAATCGGTGCACGCCCATATCAGGAAATCGTTCGAGCATCATGTCCATAGTAGAAAGGATACCCAAGTGCCGATCAGAGATAATGCATGTCTCCCTGTTCTTGATAACAAACTCCTTCAAACATTTCAGGAACCACTTCCAGCTGGGAAAAGTCTCATCATCTACCAAGGCAAATGCTACAGGAACAATGTTGTTATTTGCACTCTTGCACACTGCCATCATCAATTTTTCCTTGTATGCACCTCGGAGGTGGGTTGCGTCGATGCTAACAACCGACATAGAAGCTTGAAAACATATTATAGATGGCCAGAAAGCCCAAAAAATATACCTCAATACCCTTTTGTCTAAATCTTTAGTGCCTTTTGTGAACTTATACTTCACCTTAGTACCGGGGTTGGTTGCGCACAGTGCAGACATAAAATCAGGCAAATCTCTATCTTCCCAGCCACCATAAATACTATCTAGTGCTTTCCTCCTCCCATGCCATGCCTTCTTGTAACTTACATTCACATGGTACACATCAAAAACATTTTCTTGAACGAGCTTGACTTTGTAAGTTGGTTCTAACCGAACACTAGGTGCGACAAGTCGAGCAATCAGTGTCGACGTCACGTTTTGGCTATCTTTCTTGTTGTTTTCCCCAGGACAAGTATGGGAATCCGACCATATCACCACTTTCCATAAGTCTGTATCATCCTGCTTCGTCACCTATACCCACCAATTGCATGGAATGCCGCCAAGGTGCTCTTGAGGACACTTTGGAGATGATGTCGCACATTTTACACACCATCTTGACCCATCAGATTAAACAGTGATGAAAGTTCTATCTTGATCAGTGGACTATTTGGCCACAGCATCATGTGCATCATCCTTGCACAAGAAACGTACCCCAACCTTAATATGATCGATGACACCGTCTCACATCTTTTCAGCATAAGTATCATTCTCCATAGGAGGATTGTCCCATCCACTTATGTTACCGCAAGCCTCATAAGCCTTCCATCCGGGATTAACAAATGCACTAGTGTCATTGCCATCTTCTTCATCAGAGGATTCACCTGATGGGACGTGTTCGTCGTCACTACCAGCATGTTCCATGCCTTCCTCTTCACCCCTTTCATCTTCACTGTCTTCGTTTGACTATCAGCACTTGTACCTGCACCAGTAGCTTGCTCAGATGAATCAACCCCACCAATTGGCGCAAAACAAACGTACAATTCAGGCCAATTCTGTGACACTAGGTATACCAATGGTATACCCTTGTCGTCATGAATATGCATATACCCCCTTCTACCAGAACTATCAGTCCACACAAGAACAAAACTGACTGTCACCCTTCCCTTATCAAAACCAGCAGCTCTACAGACCTTGTCCACGAGTTCAATGTAATTCAACTCGTGGTCAATAAATATTGTTTTGTCTGTCATTCTGTTGTTCGGGGCAACAATTCCAATTACAATTTCAATACTGCTAATCCAGTACACATTTAGACCAAACAGACCAGGGAAAGACATATTCGATACATGTACAAATAATTTAAACCCCAAATTAAAATGCATCCAACAGTTAATACAGAAAATATAAAGCGACTGTCTGATTCAAATGCTTTATTCAACTATCTAATTTAAATAAAGTACTTATCTCATCTTCACATCTATACATCTATTAAATCTATATTCTAATCTTTTCACCAAAAACAAATCTATATTCTAATTTCGTTCCTATACTCAACATAAAGTCTAGAATTAATTCAACTACATATTCATCTTTAAAATACATGCATTCAACCAATTCACCCATTTCATACATCAAAATTATATCATTCATCTCATAATTCTACAATAAAATATAAAGATAACAATCTATGCAATAGAGTGTGAAATCTAAACATTATTTAGATGGCAGAGAGTAGAAACTTACCAAAACGATTCAAACACCAATCCTTCTTTCAAATTTTTGTATTGCTTTCGCCGGATTTGCATTTCCGATTGGAAGCTCTCAAAGCTGAAAATCATATAATGAAAAATAAAAAAAATGCCCATTCGCGTTCTGTTTTGGTATATATTTGTACCAAATTCCGCATAGGAGGAATGCGGCTTTGTAAGTTTTTTTTGTCAGCTGCTACGTGTCGTTACCACAAGACCTATTCAAGTTTTCTGGATAAGACTAAAAACCGCATAGGACTAATGCGATTTTTGTTTCCGCAAATGGAGTATGCGGTTTTTGATTTGAACATTCAAATTTTGCCGCCTTATGAAATCATTTTATTAAAATTGTAATTGTCAATAACGTATTCAGGGTTTGCGGATTTATTTTATTACTTTTTTATTCGACATCGAATTTCCTGCCGGTTTTGACTTTTTAAAAAAAAATTAAAGAAGCCGCATTCCGTGTACGCGGTTTTTGTAATTCATTTCAGTAAGATTTTCGGAATGTTATATTGCGGAAAGGGTATTTACTTTTATAATTTAAAAACTTAGAACCATATGTGTCCACAAATGGTCCTTTCAAGAGCATTAATCTCAAGCTCCCCAAGGATTAGTAAGAATATAAGGGAAAAAATCTGGACAACGGAATGCCACAAACTAAATAACTGAAAATGACACCAAAAGATGCTTAAACACTAAAAAGTGGAAAGTAAAAGCGGTTTTAAACTAATGTTGAGAGCATAAACAAGCAGATGCTGAAAAGACAAGTGCCATACAATCTTCAAGACTCCATAATTTCCATCAGAAACAAACCATAGTAAACTAGTTCTCACCCCAAAGAGAGTTGATATTCAAAAAAAAAAAAAAAACAATTAAAAAAATAGGCAGAAGGATACCAGCCGTTATGGAGCAGGCATTAGTAAGAATAAAATGGAACAAATCCGGACAAAGGAATGCCACACACTTCGGAAAACTGAAAATGACACCAAATGATGCTTAAACATACTGGAAAGTGGAAAATAATAGCATAAGGTTTCAACACTAATGTTGAGGACACAAAAAGACAGATGCTAAAAATTGAAGTGCCATACAATCTTCTTCATCCAGAATTTCCATCAGAATCAAACCATAGTAAACTAGTTTCCACCACCTGAACTTCACTATCTTACCAGGAATATAACTAAACAGAAAGAGAAGAACGATTAGTGAAAGAAATTACTGAACCATTTCCCGCAACATAGTCAGAATACCTCCTGCAAATAGGATAGGAACCAAGTCATTTTTTTGGCAAACAAGTAAATATATTTCCAGAAATTGAAAAACCGACAACAGATGCAATCAAACTCCAATGAATAATGTAGTCATGTCGCACGAATAGATGCAATCAAACTCCTGTACTTTGAACACATTTGTACAACCTCAATTATCATTATTGCCTACGCCTACAACTAAAAGAACTAAAAACTATAAACAACTCATGCCCATAAAGAAAATACTTTGGTGAGATGGTTTATCATCTTCCTTGTAAGCGTCTCCAACTACAACTAATTGAACAGAGACTTCATAACATACATATTTTCCACACTCACGAAATTTAGGCCAAAACAAGATCGACAACCTACTTATAGAAAAGCATCTTCATAGAAAACCACTTATAGATGCATTATTATACTATCATATTCAAAGCATGTCATCCAAATTCTAAACAGTAACCAACTCACTCTAAATCAATAAACAGGCACTAAAAAGAGTTCTACACATAATGAGAATAGAGCAACTTTAAAAAGGTAAAATCTGTTTTTTATGAACGATTACTAGGCTAATAACAAAGGACTAGCAACCAGATCGCAAATACTCAATAAGATGAAGAAAAGTTATCTATCAATAACATACGATTCAAAATAGTCTTTCAGAACTCATAAAAATTTTTGAAGAGGAACCAAATACAAACCAATTATAAGGGACTAAAGGACCACAAGTATCCCCAAACAGCTTGTACTGAAACTCAAGATATGCTTTCAAAACTTAAAAATTTGCCAATATTTAAATGTTATACTTTTAACCACCCCAATCCCCTAAAATCAAATCAAACACCTACATTTACACCTGCTTTATCAGCCAATTTAATCTACCATGAAACCTAAAAAGTCTGACAACTATAAACTATAAACCATGACCAACCAAATATCATGTCAAGGTCGATAGATAAACATTTGAAAGAAATAAACTTATCGCGCAAGTACACAATGCTTTTCTCCTTAACAACAAACTCGCACCCTGGAGGCCCAATAAAATATTAACTAAGTTTCCCACCGGTGCGCCAATCGTCAGAAGCGGTACAGATGGCATGTCTACCCAAATCGACACAGTCAAAGAAGGTAATATAATGATGACTAGGGCTGCCAAAGTCCAATGACTCAAGAAGAGTATATGTTCTCAGATTAAGCGCTGCATATGTTATCAGATGAATCACTAGTGATACTCCTAAACTGAAAGGAGATGGGTTAAGGAAAGGTTTGTCTTTTAACTCTCAAATCATCACTCCTACACTTTAAGAACTGCGGGAGATATTCCCCTCCCAATTACTCTTTTGAAAGCAAATTATAGTACAATTTTTAGACTCAGTTGCAGTAAAAAACTTATTTTAAGGTACAAATTTGTGCAAGTTGCAACTCTTTTCGACTCAAATAGGAAGTCCTTGACAGGGAATTTCTAGGCGATGTAATTTTGAGAGTCAATTGTGTGGCAGAAACTCCAAATTTGAACAAAACTATTACTGAGCTTAACACTTTTAACCAAATTCATTGGCACTGTTGTAGGTCTCAAAAAGTTCTGAAGGAGTACAGTCAAGATAGTAAGAGCTGACCATTTTGACAGCATTTGTAAGCGCGAAACTCATTATACACTCCCGCCACCCAACCGAAACAAAAGGTTCTTGCATATTAAACTAGTTTTGTTAGGATGGAAAGAGTATTGTGTTGAGTAAATGTTCAACAAATTAAACAGACAAAATAGATCATTTTCTATATGAAACTTCATATGTAATATTTTCAAGGAAGTTGAATGTCACAGTCAGTTGGAACTTTAAAATGAACTAAAGAAATAAATTTCCTCTTTCCCAAAAAAAAAAAAAAAAACAACAAAAAGAAAACGTTTTAAGATACATAGTACTCCCTCCATTTCAAAATGTAAGTCTTTTTAGACTTGGCATGTAAACTAAGGAAGCAATCATCCAACAATTAATTCATGTATTAAATATTTTTTTTAACCCTCATTAATTACATTGGAACTAAATAAAAATATATTAACATTATTTATTGAAGATAAAGTTGGAAAAATAGTCATTAATTTGCCTAAAATTTGTAAAACGATCAAAAAAATCTCTCCAAACCTAAAACAACCTATATTTTGAAATGTAAGGAGTACTATGTTTATTTTTACAGTGGGAGGATGCATTTATCCATTCGCGAATTGAATAGCCACTCAGAAAGACGCACCTGCTGATCGTTTCATTTTCCCCTCACAGAAGCTCAGAACCAATCTCTTATCATCTCTATTTAAATCTTCGACTTGAATTGTGAATCAGAAATGTTTTCTGAACCTCCTACAAAAAATTAGCCTAACAAAAAATAAGCCATGAATTCAGCCCCTAAGAAAAAAGCTAAGGTTGCAACCTTAAAGGAAGATAGACTCAGCTCTCTTCCAAAATGCGTCCTGAGTCATATCCTCTCATTCATGCCCACACAAGATGCTGCAACGACATCCATTCTGTCCACCAAGTGGAAGTATCTTTTTCTCGATGTCCCGAAAATCGAGATTGATGAGTACTGGTATTCGGATACACAGCCTGAAATAAAGAGTCAAGTTGGAAAAAGAGAAAAGCGTCGAGATTTTATACATTTCGCGAATAGGAGGCTTTGTGATGAACGGAACATCTTCCATAACAGAGTTTTTACTCAGATGCAAGGAACCACGTGAAGCTTTCATGGTTAACTTATGGATTAGTACACTACTCTTACGCCACGTCGAAATCCTAGATATAGAAGTATTTCCAAGGAAAAGCAGTAGTCCACAGCTTCAGCATTTGGAGTTTGATCTTTCAGGGTATCATGATTTCCAAGGAAGAGCTGGATTGTGACATGGTATGTTTTCAATTTCGGGGGTAAAAAGAAAAGGAAGACAAACGGTTCCATTATTACTACTACTAAGGGAGTGTCCAAATATATACGTTGTTTCAAGTTGAGGATATAGTTACTATTCGTTTATCTGTGCTGTACTATTGTGCTTCTATTTCTCCCGCGGAGAGTGAGCCACTATGTTTAACACAAAACCTAAGAGAAATCAGAATTACAAATTTTCGAGGGGGCAAAGCTGAGTTCGCAGTGGTGAGATATTTTTTGCAGCACGGAGCAGTTCTCGAGAGGATGATCATAGAACGTGCTGAGTTACTGTCTAGGTGAATCGCCGTCTTTGATATGGGAAGCCTTTGCTGAAGCTCGGACGGCGATCACCAAAATGTGAGGTTGAGCTTGCTTGAAGTGAATAACCTTGGCCACTTTAGTTTTTTGCAACTTTGCATATATATATTCTCTGATGAATCACTAATGGATGTGGTATTCTTAATACTATATAATACATAGAGGTAAAACGAAAGGCTCTAGCGTCATATATGACCGGATGAGGACTGAGAATCCTTCCTTTGGATGTCGGAAAGAAAGGGCGTAATCAAATAATTCCAACGACATCAATGCTCGGAAAAGGAAAAAAAAATGAAGTTTTGGAAAGATCATGTTATAGATTAGTTTGAGTCTCCGTTTGTTTTTGTTTCTTGGTTTTCCCTAACTAGACATGCGACAATTTCACATTCGAAACACTTGCGTTTTGGACATGATGAGGCAACAAATGCCAGTTGACCAACCAGATATGATGAATTCACATTCTTGTAGACCAACCAGACCCAAAGACTAATTGAACCAACATTCCATCAAAATGCCCCTTAAAAAACCTACATTGTAAGGAATTTATGCAAAGCTTACACTCCCTCTACTCAAACAAACAAACATAACGTATTACCTGTTTGTTTTTTGGAACGGTACAATATATTGCTCGGTAAATAGATCTCCGATGCCTCTAATGTAATCTTCAAATGCATGGACATACATCCAAGGATCCTGTAATCAGTTGAAACTCGCAACGTTGGGAGTAAATGATTTTCACACTAGGAGAAAAGTTTTCTTGAAGAATTTCTATCAATTAAATAACTCGAATAGGGGGAGAAACCTCATCTAGTTGACAACAAATGTGTTGTGAAACAAAATCCCAAATGAAAAGAAGAAAAAAAGAAAAAGAAAAAGGCACTTTGCAGCGCAGAGATTGCAGCTACATCTACAACAGGGAAACTAATCTAACACCAATTGTACCATCTCTCTCCCTCAATACTGATAACTATGGAGGTGTCTACATTTAGAAAACCTATACTCTCATACTGTCATTGTACAAACAAGAGCCCCTTCACAGCTTTTTCCATGATAGCAGCAACTTGCCTGCGGTTTCAGCAGGGTACTATTCGAATGTTTTGGGATATAACAAACCATTTTTTTTTTGTACAGGTGAACATTCACATGAAATAGCTGAGGGACTTCTTCCTTCTAGAACCCCCTTCGCCATAAAGTTCATTCCATTGTTGGAGTTCGGTCATGTTTATAGATTCTGACGAAACGCTCGCACAAACCTACAACATCAAAGACATCCAAAGTTACTCCAAAATAAATAAATAAATAATCAAACCAACAAATAAAAAGATGCTAATTATCTCAAAATTCTCACCTGTTCATGAGCAACTTTGAAGTCATCCATGTTCAATGGCCGGATGTCACTACTGCTGCTCAAAGCTGGTAAAGGTTTACCTTGTGCTCGCGCAGAAGCGTGATCCTGTAATCAGATAATAGATGAGTAGAGAAATGAATTATCCTTTGAAAAGCCCCAGAAATATGTTAGTATCCAAGGTCCAAGGCCTTTATTTTGGATCCAAGAACTTATAAGTCACTATAAAACCATATAAATTACACAAAAATACTGAAGGTACAAACAATTTAAACTCAAAGGTCGAGAAAGAAACTCCATTTAAAAAGAGAGCTGCCTCAAGTTCCACAGTAAACTCAATGAGAAGCATGTGAGAACACCACCAAATCATGCTCCACATCAATGAAACAGCCAGGATAAATTTCTTGTCTATAAAGCACTTTATCTTATCTCAGCACATGAACAATACCTTTTTCTCTTTTTCCAAAATCTCTCTGATTGGTCTATGGGCTGCTGTCACACATAAATTCTGTAAATACACGAGGCAGATAAAGAAATCAGAGCCTCTTCAACCAGTAAATTCAAGCAATAACATGCTAATTTTCTCACATTTATAGAGAAATACCTTAAGGTCACTTCCAGAGTACCCTTCTGTCATACTTGCAACTGCATCCAGATCGACATCAGGAGACAAATCCTCCTTTGCTAATATAACCTTAATAATCTTTGCTCTATTAGGAGCATCAGGCAAATTAACCATCAACCTACCACAAAAGAAGAAAAACATTTTAGAGAAATATACAAGAAATCCTCATCTTGAAGAACAATCCACATAAGAAAAAATAACTCTAAAGTCATCACTGGTTTACCTACGAGGCAGACGTCTTACAACAGCCTCATCTAGGTCATAAGGCCTGTTGGTAGCAGCAAGTACAAGAACTCGTTCAGTATCTTTTGTTCGCAGGCCATCCCAGTTTACCATAAACTCATTTTTCATTTTACGCATAGCTTCATGCTCTCCGGGGTTTTCCCTCCGTCCCAGCATGCTATCAACCTGACAAAGAATAAGAAGAATGTTCTCATTGATACAGTTCCGGGATATTGGGGGAAGAAAAACAACAGTTAACGTTATGAAAGCCTACTTCATCAACAAAAACAACACTTGGTGCAATTTTACTAGCCAATGAGAAGACAGCCTTGACGTATTTCTCTCCCTCGCCAAACCACTGCACAAAGAAACAAGAGACAAAGAAAGAGGGAAATTTCATTATAAAGCCAAGTTGGCAAATACTGCAAAAATATGAAAGAAGGAACTCCAAGAATAACCTTTGATGTAATGCTTGACATAGAAATATTAATGAAATTTGCTCCGGCTTCAGTGGCAACAGCCTTTGCAAGCATAGTTTTCCCTGTACCAGGTGGCCCAAATAGAAGTATACCCTTGCAGGGCTGCAAATAAAACAATGCAACAAGAGAATGAGGACGTAGGCAGGAGAATTAATGATTGAAATTAGCAAAAGAAATCAACCACAAACATAAAAATAAATTTAACATTAGAAAATTTAGGCAGGAGAATTAATGATTGAAATTAGCAAAAAGAATCAACCGCAAACATAAAAATAAATTTAACATTAGAAAATTTTTAACTGAATCTCTAAAAAACAACGTTAGAAATCTATTGGAACACAAAATGGCAAAAGACATTAAATAGTTCAAAATGCAAATTAAAAATTTGTAACAGAATATAGAAACAAGGACTACAAAAATTTATAAGACGCATCTTAGAGAGAGCAAACAAAGAGTGTCCTGTGAATTACAAATCCTAAATACATTGTATTAGACAATAAAAACCAGATTCTCCTTTCTAAAATGAAGCCACGGCCAGTGGTAACAGTAAATGCATGCAAAAGAGGCATATGGCACCAATTCCAAAATTCAAGTTTGAGTGAAGATACATACAAACAAGGCAGAGAGATGACATTTGTCTGGTTCTAAATAAGACTAATATGTCTCAAATGTAACAATTTACTTCTATATACAAAAGCTAACGAGATCTAGCAATCAACACCATCTTAATAGAAACAGAAATGAAGTAAATTAGAGAAGAATCTACGAGAAGAATTGACATGCAAAGAGGCTCTTAAACTTTCTCAAGTCAATATACGGGTGATGAACAAAGACCTTAGTTAATTGGCCCTTGCCAAAGAGCTCAGGCCTCTGTAGGGGAAGCATCACCAGCTCCTTCAAAGTGTCTTTCACATTTTCTAGTGCTCCAATATCATCAAATGTCACCCCAATATCACTGGGAGGTATAACATCTGCTAGAAGCCTTTTCTCAAATTCATTTTCTGTTACAACATCCTACAATAGCCAACAGAAATATGCATCAGTAACTTCAGCGTAATTAGCTTCTAAAGCAGCACAAAAGAATGGAACAAGACCAACAGTAGTTAGTCATATCTCCGCGGCAAGAAGAGAACGATAATCACCTTGAGAGACTTTTTTGAGCTTTTTGACTCATTCTGGACGGCTTGCAAAATGTGAATCCCATACTCAATGCTGCCAATTTCCCACAAAAAAAAAGGAACGAACAGAAGGTGTTAGACATGATAGATTCAAGAAGAACTAGAAGTTACAAAAAGGAAATCATGGTTTTTGCTACCTTTCCCTGGATAAAACGAGCTTGGTATCTGCACTAACTTCGGCATTTTGCATTAGATGATGGCTCAGAGACCACCCTACAACCTTCTCCGCACCTTTGGAAGCAAAATGTTACCATCATTAACAATTTGCCCAATTATAAAACTATACATCTAAATGCTGAGTGATGAATTCAAATGTCGACAGTCAACAAATCACATACTCTCTATTGTAAGTGTCTGATCTTTGGTACATAATCCCTCAAATCCATCGCAATCCAATCCAGTTCTGTTCAGGACCTACACACGAAAATGTTTTGACATTAATGGAAAAGAGTCAGCAAATCAACAATATCATCAAAAGATGTTAGTAGTAGGTATCAACACAAAAGAGCAGAAAAAGCCACCACCAACAAAAGAGGAAAATCATCTCTGCAGCACAGGACACAAAAAAAAAACGGCGGCACAGAAAAGAGCAAAATGCTGAAAAAGATATGTACGAGGAGAACTGTGGTTCTTCAACACCTAAGAAACTGCTCCTTATATCCCGGGAATGGACAAGCACGCTGCAAAGGAAGCTTCATCTAATTTCTCATCTTAAATTTGCATATAAGGAAAACCCAGAAAAAGTTCGATTTCTTTTATTTCTGAAACAAATTCATACACAAACCATATGAAGTAATTTTAATCACTGCCACAAACTGTAGTTATTTCCTGGTAAATTGAGCAAGTGGATCCAAGACAAAGTTCAACCCCCCCCCCCCCCCCCCGGGTTATCTAATGCTGATGTTATTTTGACTACTCTTGCGGGCTCATGCTTGTTCGTGAAAATAGAATGACCTGAATCTCTTGAGGCTTTGATTTGAAACAGAAGTTAAAGTTCCTTAGTTTCTAATTTCCTGAATAGTTGTAATTCACTTGTACAAGTGGGAATCATAAAAATAAGGTGCCAGCCTTATGAATAAAGGCTATCTTTATGCCTTGCTTTATGAAGCGAGGGTGGAAATCAAGAGAAACAACCCTTCTTCAATCTCGTAGACACAGAAAAAAACACACAGACGTATCACCAAATGAACATGAGTAGGATCATTTTCAGAGGCACTAACAAGATACTGTTGTTCCCAAATGAAAATGATGACATTTTGGACCTTGCACAACTCAATTTAAAAACAAAAACAAAAATGAAAATGAAAAATTCTCTATGTTGAAAAGGAATCGGAAGAATGAAATGACAGAACAAAAATTTTGACCACAAAAATTAATTATACAACAGGAGGCTACATCAATGCAAGAAAACTACCATCAAACTACAAAATTAGTGGTACCAAAAAAATTTCAGTAGCTTTTCGAAACTGTTGGTTTGAAACAGCCAGACCACTGAGTAAAAGTTGGAGCAGTAACTGACCTAAGAAGTTAATGACCAGTTCAACTATAACGAAGGACTCCATCCACTAAACCCTCAAATTTGCAAGTCCTATTGAGGTTATACCATATGACTAAGTGTAATTCCCTTGAATCAGTTTGTCCCAGATTTATTAACTTGCAGTACGACTTTAGCAGATAAACATATATGTGACTTCTAATCCCATTAAGTTAATGTCTACACAGCAATCCATAAACATTAGTTATAGGAGACCTCTAGAGAAGTTCTAATAAGAAACTAAAAAGCAGTGAGAATGTTAAAAGAGTGGTCTTTCAGGATTTATATGAATGTCTACATGAAGATATAAATCGATCAGTGAATATAGAGAAGAACGAAATCTTCAAGTATCACAAGACAAAGAAATGGTAACTAAAAGCTTGGCTAATCATGGAAGTAAATTTCTCACATTGCGTAAATTGTTCAAGTTTGCTTTCATTCTCAGGGTTTCCGCATCTCGCTCCAATTGATTCTTCCAACTAGCTTGGAGAACTTCATCCTACAATGGTAGAGAACCGTCAGACTTTGAAGTTTGAATAAAGAGCAGAAAGCAAATTAAGGAAGTCTCAAGGCAGACCTGAGGAACATGAATGATCACTTTGTTTGGGAAAAGTTTCGTAAGAAGCTTGGTTGCCTTGGGAATATCTTTACCTCTGTCATGTAGCCTTCCAATACTGTCCTGTTGTTTGCAATATGGATTCTATCAGTTAGCAGATAGACTAGAAACCAAAAACATATATCGGCAAAAACCTCCAAATAATAGAATAATGCTCAAACAGGGATAGCAGACTAGAAATGAAATATAAGCTAAGACAATGTGTTGTCTTAAGATCAACAGATAGTTAATACGGTACTACTAACTGACTCCAGCTTTCGACGAAGAATACAGTTTGCCAAATGGAAATATTACATTATTAACAATAAAGAGCGTGTTATGCTGTGTAAATAAACTGATCATCCGCTTTTCTACAAGTACTCAGTAGTAGTTTGTAATTCAAACTTCTCATGCCATTCAAGGAACCATTAAAAAAATGGCTACTTGGCAAACATGTACACGGTTCTTATATCACGTCATCACTCTAATAGGATGTCCAAACAAAAACCTGAACAATCCCAAGGCTAAAATGCTTCTAAACTAGTTGAGACTGATCAGATTTACGCACATGTGATGCTATCTCAGAAAAAGCATAGAACGCAAGTTATGTCTTCAATATATAATTCTAATTACAAGGCAAAAACATTTCTAAAGAAGCTGAATAATGATTAGATGTGCACGCGGTGATGATCTCAGTAAAGATGCAACTGAAACACCTTGAAGAACCCAAGTAACATTGTCAATATATAATTCTAGTTCAAGTAATAAAAAGCTCCTCTTCCAAAATACCCCAAAATAAAACTCTTCTTACTTGTAAAGCCAAGTCGAAGAAAGCAGTTTGGGTGCCTCCAAATTTGGTAAAAAGAAACCCTCCAGCATGCGACTGCAATAAGAACAGGCCAACCCCAACATCAATAGCATATAAACTAATAAAAGCATCTTTACACTGAAATCCTTTCTTCATCAGTAAGAAAAATCGAGATCTTATAAAAAATGAGTCAGATATAACATTCAAATAGCAGATCAAAAAAAGGTGCGTAAGTTTTGTAATTATCCCTAGAAAAGAAAATTTTGTTCATAGTAAGCAAATGCAAAGCCAAATTCATGAAAGAACGGAGCTTACAGGCTGGTCATTTTTTGGGTAGTAAAGCATTAAAAAGTACAAACCCAAATAAAGAAATCCTCATACTTGTTAGTATTTACCTTTTCCTTGCGACTGTCAACATGGGTATGTGAACCAATAACAACAACATTATTCGGAAGCTTCTCAAGCCTCATTTTGAAAGCTGAAGATGACTCTGGGTTGGCCACAATAGACTTCTCAGCATCTTTAATAAATAAAATGAAAGGGGAACTTTTGCTCTCCTCAGAAATAGCCTAGCAACAAAGGAGTTTACCATTATGATGAAAACTAGGATAGGTAAAATACTAAAACCTTATCGATTTGACATGCATTAAAGCCTACCTCAAACAACGTTGTAATAAGTTGGTTGTCCAGATCATCCACACCAGGGGCTTCCAAGCGGAGTTCTTGGGCTAGACACAGAGAAAGATTAAAGTGAATATTGTTGGACGGGAGACAAAAATGGAAGCACAAAAACAGGCAGTAGCTCATAAACAAATGGACAGTCTGCCGGACCATACCATTGCAAAAGAATCCATGCCCCATTTCACAAAGTCCATCAAAGTCAATGCCGTCTGCAACAGTTTTATCAAATCTTACACCAATCTTGGACGAGGGGTTATTTTCAAAAGGTAAAATGACCTTCCCACGGCTACCAAAACTTGGTCCCCTGGAAATTGAACCAAAATTGACCAATAAGATGAGCACAAACAAACAAATTTGGTAAATGAGGAATTTCTTATAAATCAAACTTGGATTTCCACAATTATAATGGCCAGTAAAATGTGAGAGAAAAGCATTGAGTTTTAGATTTACATCAATATAAAAGCGCAGGAAGCCAGAAAAGCTGATGATGATGATGTCTACAGTATATTGTTAAAAGTTTAGTTGGTTTTTACAAATGCCAAAGTGGAACAGAACATTACAACATGCAGTAGCATGCATCGTCCCAACACCACCAAGCTACTCTAGGCAGGTTTCGACGGTTTTATAGTAGCACCTCAGATGCATTTTTATCCAACCTTCTTGAAACAAACACAGTTATAAGTAAGCCTATCTGTATTTCCATTTTGATATAGCCTATGATATCAAAAATTAATTCAAAGCTTAATACGGGTTCAAACTAAACAGAACTAGATTCCAATATCCACATCGACTCATCTACAATTTGACAAATAACAAAGCCGAAGTGAAGGAGAAAGGTCTGGAGGCAGCAAATGCACTCAAACTTGCATTCATCACACCCCTGCAGAATCTTGGATGAAACTATTCATTCACTTAACATGGGAGATATTTCAGTTCTATAAGAACAATCACTTCCAGAAAGAGCAGAGACAAGAAAAATAGAGCTCGAACTTCAGTCATTCAGGTAGGACCTTTAGATTAAAGCTTTACCGGGACATCTTTCTAAATAGATTTGGTTCACATTCAAACTGTAACAAATAAGCATACAGCAGAGGCTACCTTGCATTAGGCGAATACAGACTGCTCGGAGGAGGGCCAACAAATCTCACTCTATCACCTAAAAGTTCAAAGTTCAGAAACACGTTGAAAAAGTGCACAGACCAAGAAACAAAAATAAATAAGATATAATCGTCATAGAACATTTTATCAAGCTGATAGTATACCAAGTCTAAATGAAGGGTTCTTAGATGTCCCAGCTAACAACAGTGAAGTGCCAGTATCAGATTTCAGCCGGGATTCGAAGAGAAGATTCTCTGCAGCACCCGACAAAGCTGCCACGCCCTTAGCCAAGTCAGAGGTAAGTTGTTTCAAGTCATTGCAGATTTTCTCTGCAGTGGAACCACTCTCTTTAAGTAGTTCAGCTCGTTTAGAAGAAAGCCCCTAGAGATGAAAAATGGATTAATCAATCAATGATCGCAAGAATTGACATCTTCTAAGTAAAATATGTAGAAGAAACTAATAAGGAAAAGCAATCAGTGACTCTAAAGTCCAGCTAATTGGATAAGAGGTAGCAAGCATGGTCAATTCATGCCACAAGTAGTTTCCCACTGCCTAAATGTCACCAAAAAGATTCCCTTAAAAATGATTTGGTTCCTTACAGAATTGGTGATGGCTTATCATTGAATTGACTTTCTGTGCAACACAGGTATTATTTCTATTCAAAATATGAACAAAAAATTTCGAAGTTTAGATGAAATGAGGTGATTTCCAAGTCAAAAAAAACTTACACCCAAAAACGAGTGGCTATCAAATATCAGCAATTTAGCTTCAAAATAACGTGCAAGTGCCTTCGCCAACTTCTCTTGATATATCTCAGATCCTGAAATGCAAAATAAATTTATTAACAGATTTCAAATTTATGCTCACGCATTTGGCAGAAATTGTGACAGAGAAAACTTAACAGAAAGAATAGTAATGGAGAGAATATCATAACATACCTGCAGGACCAGAAAGCAAAATGCGCGGGTTGACAGTTGGAAGCTCGGAAGTGTATTTAACCTTTTCTTTGTGCTTTAGCTGTATGTAGGTGGATGCAATCAACACATTCTTAGTGCTCTCACTACATGTTGAGAAAATTAAGAACAAAAATTAGAATCGTTAAACAAAAAAGGACTGTCAAATAAACAACCATAACGTTCATCATATGCATATTATGACCAAGGGCAATTTCACATCAACACTCCCAAATAAGAAACTGATGAATCACTTAAAGTGAATTAAGCAAGCATAACGAAACTATTATGCCACACCTATAACAACCTTCAAAAGGTTAACAAGTGAAAGGCGAAAAACTATTGAAGAACCGTTTCAGAAAATTCAGCCCCAAAGTTTTTAAGCCAAAGAATAGTCAAACAAAAGGAGCTTTATCGCCAAGCCAACCCCCAAACCTTAGATATTATGATTCCCTCCAGAGAATTGTTACATCAGGATTAGAATTTATCATGAACTATTGAACAGTCATTTCATTCTATTAAGTGAACTTTGTCATCTTCCAGATTCAACCAAGGGCTTCTGGACTGAACTATGACCTCTTCGCCTAAGTCATGTATTCCTTTGCATTCTAAAAGAAGGTAACATCACTCCAAGAAAGCAACCCTCCCCTTCAATAGGAATTTGAATGAGAGCTCGCATAGTTCAAAAAACAAGCTACATTATGGACAAACAGACTTTTAAGCAACTTTTCAAGTTAAAGTTTATATGGTTTAACTGCAAGCGTTTTTCACCCTTATCGACACCTAGCACACTTTTTTCTTGACGATCTCCTTCTGAAACTCATCCTAACAGCTATCAGGACCATAAAAAACCATGATACAGGTAATGAGGAGAAAACAAAAGATTCTAGTATAATGTCAGACTATTAACAATTTGTACATATGCAAACCTTCACAACCATAAACACCCAGGATACGAAGGATAACTTCTGGCCATCGATGAGGCATATTAGATCATAACCTTAAAGTCACAGTAAAAACATTCCTTCTCCAGCATATCACAAATGCAAAGATAGCGTCATAAAGAAGATAGAGAAAGTCTCATTACCCACAAAATACAGAGTATGATTTAGCTACATACAACTCCTAAACAATATTCTCAAATGTCAACTGCTCTGAACCATAGTGATGGTTACTCCAGTGTCCCCCCCCCCAAAAAAAAGAAAAAGGTTTTCCATTGTAATAAGATATGCTGATAACTAATACCAAATCATACAGGCTTACCTAAGATAATAAGGGAAGTCATCAAATGAAACTTCAATGTCTCGGCCATCAATGATATTAGCATGAATATCTTCCTTGAACATAGCACACTTCATGGGCATCCCTGACGTCGATGCAGGCGTTGAATCTCTAGCCCACTCTCCTTCATCAGGTATCTGTTACCACATTTCCTTGGTAAATGATTTGTAGGTATGACTCAATCAAGAACCGGAAAAGATTAAACCAAACACAAGAGATCACAACAATCTTACACTGCCGGCCTCTATGCTTGCATCCAGGTTGGCATCAAGAGTGATAATTTTGCTGGACACACCATCAGGAGTACTATCACCTACAGCATTGGCAGCTGAACTGACTTCTGGACCATCGAATTCATCTTCATTTGCATTTGGAGAAGATAGCTCATTTCCAAGGTAGGTTTTTCCACTAGCCTGAGAAGTAGGCTTCAATAAATCTTGCTGGAGGCTTGAAAGTGAAGCCAGTATAGAAGCACCATCGACAATTGAGGCATCTCCAACCCGTCTCTCTCCATGAGGTGGTTTTCCAAGAGTAGTTTGACGATCTGATGAAGGTGTCTTAAGATCATGTGCAAGTTGCTGAAAAATCTATGGCAAATATCTTTAAGGATTTTCAACAGATGCCAACAAATAGATGCAAACAGAGCTCAACAAAACCAAAATTATAAGACGAATATGAATTCTATCATCAGAACACAAAGGATACATAGGCAAAGTCACCCATCAAGCCAAAGACCACCTCATCCCCTGAACAAAGAACATGACTATCATTCTTCTTTAACGGCTTCCCATTAACATGCACAGATCCTTTAATTGCCTTGCTCTCAAGCACTGCTACAGGACCATCTTTACGCTGCTCAATGCAAAAACAAGAACTTATATTAGCCAAAGGAATAGTGCGCTTCAACGAAACAAAAGTAAAACAGATCCACAAGCCTCCCAGCAGATAAAGTAATGTCATCCACAGCAATTGATCTACATCAAAATTCTAAATTAATATAAATAATAATAAATCCCGTCCTGAGTCCATAGAAATTCTAAATCAATGTCATCCACAGCAACTATTTAAATAGTAGCATTCATTGATCCCCATAAGAGACAAAATCTCTCTTCTTTCTGTCGCCCTGACTGCCTAAAAATACAACTTCAGGACATCATGAATCCCCTTCATCTGACACCCATCAATTGATCTACATTTCATGATGCTACATGTAACATCAAACATGCATTTAACTTTATCCACCCACAGTCCCAACCCCAAAAAATTAGATATAGCCAGTTAGGTTTAATAAAAGTAATAAAAAATTTAAAAATAAAAAATAAAAACCTCTTCAAGCTTTATAAAGCACAGAATCCCTGCACAGCTCTGACCCCTGATTATGAGATGGCACTTGCTGCTAGTTCCAACAATAAAATGCCTTGAATAAACAGCTACAGTTGAATTCTGCATTAAAGAAAAAAAAAAAAAAAAAGGGGGGGAGTGAAAAATCACACATTTGGGCTACCAAAATTCACACCCCATTGCAAATTTGAAAATCTGACCCGTAACAACAAATGCAAGTTAGTCTAGTTATTAAATGATATCCAAGATTGAATCTTGATAACAATAATTACAGACATCAACAGTTAAATAATCAGTAAATTAGACATCATATAAACTCATTAAAATGAGAAAACTGACCTGTGGGTGCTGTGACAATAATTTACACCAGGGCAAAGTCCTTTCAGACCCCTTGGGCAGCTTCGAAGATGTAAATGAGCTTCTGGGCTTATCTGGAATAATTGGTGCTACACCTATATCAGAAACCAAAATTGAATTATCCCAATTCCAACTTGATTGTTTAATTTTTAAAAACTAAATTCATTTAATAAATGAAAAAGAATGCAGACAGATAAGTACCTTGAGTAGGGAGAGTAACAAGAGATACAATAGTGCCACCGGAAGCGCGGTTAGTCTTGTTGGGGCGATTGGCAGGCGGCGCACTACGGCATGCAGCGGGCGGAATGCCACCGCCAGCCGACTCAGGTGGATCAGTAGAGCACAATTCCTTAGAATTCTCCGCAGCAGGTTTCTCACATGGCTTTGCATTGTTACTTTCTCCCTACAAAATTCAATCCAAGAAGGCAAGAATTACCACCGAGAAGAGGGAAAAAAAATCAAGATTTTAAAAACCCATGAATGAAAACAAAAATCACCGATAACCCATCTCGATAAACACTTCAAAATCAACGAAAAATCAATTCTTCCACGAAAAAGACACAGTCTTGACTCGCTTCCCCTTATCCCCTGAATCTTCCCCTTCCGTGTAATTCAATTCCAAAAAAAAAAAAAAAAGCTGAAAAAAAAATAAAAAAGAGATAACAGAGGAAAAGTGCCTTGGACCGCTTCGGTGAAGGAGGTTTACTATCACAGGATGAAGATGATCTCTTGTTGTTGCTGTTGTTATCGTTGTTGACCGGTAGAGATCCACTCCGTCTTGTAGAAACCATGGCTGGCTTTTAGAGTTCTATTGATAGAGCGAGAGAGACAGAGACTTGCGGAGACAAAGAGAAAGGCAAATAATTTATATATATAAAGAAATCAAAAAAAAAATCAAAGTTATATTAAAAGAAGAAAAGAAATGAATGTGAAAGAAGTGCAAATTGGCACAAATGTAATAATCAAATTAAATTTGGACACAAACTTTGATTACGGTAATCACTAATCAGATTATGTGAATTTGATTTTGTATTGTATACTTTCTCTCTTTAAATTTTTTCCGGGTGATATAATTTGGGTTGGTGGTGGGTGATTTTTCATCTGCCTTTAGGGGGCAAAGGGGTTTGTATTTTTATAGTCAGAATTGGAAGGAAAAAGTAGTAAGGTGGATTCGGTGCGTTGCGCTTGGATGATGCACACACTGTGCCGGAGTAAGTTGCTTCTCTTTTTGGTTATTCATATTTTTGCACATATTATAATAATAATAATTATTATTATTGAAATAGTATGCTACAATAATTTGAATGTGTTCAATTAAGAAAAGCTGTTCTCAAAAAAAAAAAAAAAAAGCTAGTGAATCTACATAGATATGTAGGGAATCGGAACAATTATTCTCCTTTTCATTCATACTCAAAACAAATTAAAATAACAATTTTAACCCCTTAAAATTCATGACGTCCTAAAACACCTCCAACAAATTAAGGTTCTGTCATTAAATTTCAATCGACGGACGGATCCGAAGTCTCAATCTAAAATTCATTTGGTGTCTAAGAGGAGGTTCCTTTAATTTTTTAAAATAATAAGGAGAAAGTAAAATACTAGAGACGGTCCTTTTATAAATTTGGTGAAATTTTTATGATTTTTGACTCGCGAATTTGAGATTTTTATTGCTTGAAATACAATGGTTAATATAATAATATATTTTTAATTTCAATGAATAATTGATACGGTCTTAATTTTGAATGATTTGTGGCAACAAAGTAAATTTTAAAAAATAATTCCTCATTGAATGAATATGATAAAATCTTTAAATACGGTTTGATTGTTATAGTCGTCCACAATGAGATATGTTCTAATAAATGGGTTGTGTTTCGTGTATCAGATCAATAAGTCATTATGAGCTACAGGTAATGCGTTGTAGATTACAGGCCCAGTACTGAACACCTTATGTGTCTCAACTGATTTGCGATCTCTATGCATTTCTTATGTCACATATTGTCATTTCGATTATCTTTTATCTTTGGTCAAAATTCCAAAATTTGTGTAATTTCTTATGAAACTCAGTTAATAGAATTCACAACTTTGGTCTAGGTTCTGTGAAATTGGACATTTTTCGATGAGTACTAAGTTCCAATAGTATATTTAAAAATAATTTCTTTCAATAATTTAATATGATGTTAATTAATAGAGAGTACGTTAATCATATGAAATATCAACACATTAATCAATTTTTTCCCATTTTAAATAAATATATTACCCTTTTTCAAAATTGGTGAGTATAATCGTGCTGTAAATGTGCTTATGTCACCTGTGCGTAATATTTACTAAAGTAAAAAAAAAAAATTACATACAAAATGAGTAATTTAGAATATTGCGGATTTGCAGGACTGGAATAGAATGTATGGCGATTTCTTTCATAAATTATTTTTTTAATGATAAATTTAAACTCACTGTATTTATTCCTTTGTATCTTTTATATCTATAGTATCTATATCAGGTATTCTTAATATTTTTATTTTATATACATGAATTATTACATGAGAGGAGAAAAGAAACACTAAAGATGATCTTTCCATAAATTCAGTTACGATGATATGATTTTTTTCTAGAGATTCAGAGATTTTCTTTTTTTCTTGAAATGAACTTCTGTATATGACCATATTATTTAATTAAATAATATACGATTTAAGATGGTCTTACTTTTCAATTATTTGTGTTTGATGAGTGTCAAATTCGCTTGATTATTGACATTACTTTTAGTCTTCTTAATGTTATAATACAGTATAATTTACGCTAAAATCGTAGGCATCTAAGTTATTTTCATACTTTCTTATAATTAGGAACTTAATTAAAAAAAGATGAAAATCCCAGGCAAAATCAGAAAAAACCGAAACTTCTCTTATGAGACTGAAGTCCAATTTTTGGAAACAAATGCTGGACCACAGCAGCAGCAGAAAACCGAGTCCATGCGTGATGAGAATCATGTAGCCTTCCATGGTGATTCTCCTAGTGAGGAGAATGAACTAGTCCTTCATTCTAGTTTTGGAATACCAAGTTTACTTTGCAGGCCAATCAAGGAAGAAAGGATGGATCTTGACTACCTATGTGATAGGGAGTTGGTTCAAGAGAGCTATGATCAAGATGATGAGAATGTCATTAACTTTGGGGTTCAAACCAAGGGAGATGATGACCTCATGGAAATAAGTGCTGAAGAGTATCAAGAGAGTTTGACTCTGTGTGCTCCATGAAGAACATTGATCAAGCTAGTGAGAAGACTCATTTAGGTTCTTGAATGGACGGCCTATTTGATCAAAGTGTTCAAGATTGAGTCTATTGTTACACAATTGGATAGGTTGCAAACTATCTTAATTGTTTCAAGTGTTTTTTCAATCTTTTGGAGTCAATACAGAGAATTCTACAAGTTCTGGAGTAAATTAGAGTTTTCTACAACTTAAGGGGCGCAAGACCAATATTTCACTTTTGGAAGGGCGTTCAAGACATTTTACTTCAACAATTTGGAAGCTGAATTTCGAGATTAGAGTTAGTCTAAGTCTAGGAGTCAATTTTCGAGTTTTATCTAGTTAGATAAGCCATGTGGGCTGAATAAAACTAGAGTGTTTTGATTAGGAGTCTTAGATTCCTTCTAGATATTATCCTACTTGAGGATAAGTCATTTAGATAGGGTTTCCTAGATTTTAGATAGAGTCAAAGAGATCAAATACTCTTCTACTTCTACTCCTTATGAGATAAGATTAGATAGTCCTAATTGATCTTCTTTTCTTGGTGCTGGCCGAAAATCTAAGCCTATAAATAGGGGGCTTGGCCGAAATTTCAAAGCACCCTTGAGTGGTCATTTTTGTTGTCTCTTTTGAGAGTTTTTCCTGTGAGGAATTTTTGTTAAATGGAGTGTCCATTTTTCGTGTCAAGTATGATTTAACCAAGAGGGTTTTCATCTTTTCTTGGATCTTTTGATCTTGTAGAAACCGTTCTTTTTCAAGTATGCTTCTTGATAAAATTGTTTTAAAACAAAACTTCTTATTTTTATACTACTTCTAGTAGTTTGATTGATGAGCCTTTCTTTTGGCTTGGTGTTCGAATTCATGATGAGTGTGTTCATGAGTTCCATTATGGGGTTTGTCCTACTTTTGTTGGATGAGTTGTGCTTTGGCATAAGCATTTTGAGATAGTGTATGTGTTGCATATCTTTGGTTGGTTATGAAGATTACTAATCAATAGTATTCCTTCATAGTTGAGCATTGTTTGCTCCTACCTTTCTTGAGTCTCTTGAATGATGACTGATCGAGTATATTGAATGGTGTCCTTGCTATTCTTAGCGTGGGTTGTTGTTTAATTCGAATCTTTCATGGATAATGTGTTCTTTGCTTGGTTTGAGCTAAGGGATAGAATCACTTAGATAAACGATCGTCTTACTGTGAATTTTCCGCACTCTTTTGAGTTTCACGGGATAGACAAATTATCTTCGTACTTTCTTGTTTGATGATTGCATTAACGAAATTTGCTTCATCTACGAGATTGCTATCAGTTTCTTAGTATCAGAGCTTGGACTATCTTAGTGATGGTATTGATTGATATTATCATATCAGTTTCTATTATCAGTTTAATTTTCGAGAGATTTCTTTTTGATTGAGGACTTCATAGTTCTTGGTTTTGAGAATATCTTGAGTTGCCACGGAATCCGTTACTTGGTGTGGTAATCAAGCTTTGTGCTACTAACGAGTAGTACTATCTTTATTTGTTTCAAGGTTCCTTCTTGTTGCAGAATGAGTTTTGAAAAAAATAAATCAAATTCTTGTGAAAACTACGTTTTCAAAATCGATCTTGTCTTTTGTGTGGTTGTGCGAGACTTCTTACACATTTGTTTGATCTTGTGGTGTTATTTTGGGGTCTATGCGAGAGCTTGATGATGGTACATTGGTATCTAGTCAAAGTGGGCGCTACATCTTAAAATTTATCCTTGATTTACAAGTAGAGAACTGTTTCTTCTATGAGTAAGTTAGTGGATCTTATGTGTTGGATCTTTAAGGAGAGAATTGATACCAAAGAAAAGCTTTTTGCTCGAGATAGCCTTTTCTTTCTGAAAGAGATGTCTTTACATAAGGAGGGTTTAAGAGTTTATCTTGTGATAAATATCTTGGATCTATTCTTCGAAAGCTGAAACTTATTGATTTTGTACTTTCTACATAAAGTATAAATGAAAAAGCCTTCCTTCTTGTTGGTTTCATTTGAATCTAATGAGTAAAATAGAATTTATGGATTTTCAATTAATGAGAATTTCATAGAGACCCGAATTTTGTTGATTATTTTGTTTTTGTTTAAATCTTAGTGTCAAAAGATTTTTCAAAAGTAACAAATGCTCGTCTTTTGTTTTCTCGAGTTTTATACCTTGAGATTGAGTCGCATTTGTGGATCTTCCTATCATTGGACTTTCCATGATCCTTAACGTGAGTTTCAAAACTTTCTTTATCATTTGATGAAGAATGAATTTTTGGTTTCAATTGTTCTGAAGGTCTTTGAAGTTGAATTGTGCCAACTTTAAGGGTTGAAGTCTTTGACTTGTGTTTAAAACTTTGATTTTCGAGAGTTAAATCGAGAATTAAGTGAAGTTTTACTAAAAAGATTTTCTTATTTATGACAAGAAATCTTATAGGCTTTGAGATATATTCTTGAAGTTTACATATTTGGTCTTTGGAAAATTTGATTTTCAAATGGTCACTTATGAAGATGGCATTGTTGAGTCATTGAGTTTTAAGAATGATTTGTGTTAAATTGA